CTCCCCCCGGATGTTTAGTCAGGTTAGTGGTAAAGGACCATCCACTGAGCTTTCTCTCTTAATCTTAGTCTCCAGAAGATCAAACAACTCATCTTTGTTATTATGCATAAATGTATTAGTTTCTCTTTGTTTATCTAGCCTATTAAGTCCTCTGGGTGTTTCAAAATCCTACCTTATCTATTATCTGTTCCAAAATTCTACCTTATCTATTAGGAGGGGATATAACCCCACCCCTCCCAAGTGTTGGACTCATCACTACATGTTCTCCTTCAGGGCAAAGAGAAATTTGTACTAATTTCACCTTGCTTTTCCGTCCCTCTATTCTCCTAACTTACCAAAGCAGCAAAAGTATTGCATGTTTTGATCTCTGGCTCCCAAATCACCACCACATTCCCTCTCTTTTCTGCAGGTTTGAGTTTGATATTCTATGTCTCATGTTTATTTACCCCTTTCCTGTCTAGCTGTTATAGTGCTGCTGCTTTGCTTCTCATCCACCTATTGGTTCTTTTGTTGGTTTTTGTCTTCATTTGCTTTCATTTTCTACTGCACAATCTTCTATTTTTCCTTACTAGCAGCTTCCTCCTTCATTTGTTTCTGCACTCATTTATTTTATGCCCAAAATTATTGTATTTAGAACACAAATTTGACTTCCGTTCGTATTTTATTTCACTACAAAAAAATAGCCTATTTGCGGAGGGTATTTTCACGTTTTGCGGCGGTCAGCGACCCCCGTTATTTGATATCACGGCGGTCTTCAAAACCCCAGCTGTAAGGTTCGCCGCAATCATTTTGTGGCAGTTTTTAAAGCCCGCCGTAACCATTTAACGGAGGTTATTGTCCGGCGGTGTAACTCCCACATATTAAAATTTTAATCAATGCGCAACTTGTAAAAAAAAAATTAAACGGGGGGTAAAACCGCCGCAAAATAATCATCTTGTGGCGGTTTTAACCTCCGCAATATATTTTCGAAATATGAGAAATTCTATTTTCGCGGCAGCTTTAACCCCCTCAATTTGTTTATTTAATGGCAGTTGTAACCTCCCCTATTCCATGAAGACCTTTTTTTTGGGAGGGAGCAATTGTGGGGATACCTGCTTTTCTAATACAATATTTTAATTATATTAAATAAATTTTAAGAGGCATTAACATAATACTAAAGATGCATAAATGTTAAGTAACATCCACATATTATAGAATCATAAGCAGATAGCATTGTCATTAATCTCAAAAACTAAACTTAAACACAAAATATCTAGTTCAACCATTCAAGTAAAGTATCATACTTAATCATCTATTACATTTGCAAAGAAATTCAATAATTTTCATTAAGATTACTATTACTAGATGATCCTCTTACGACCATAGGTGAAATGGATCCGCTAGATGCATCACTTGGCTGCAAAGAAATAAAAAGCATTTAAAGTTTTTTTTTCTTTAGTTTTTCAAATTTAAAAACTACATATAGCTAGATTTTATTTACCGCTGCCGGAGGAGGAGAAACGAAAATCCCAGCAAACTGTTGAGGTATTGTCCCTTCTTTCATAATCATATATGTCTTGAAAGCATTCATCATTTGGTGGTGTGCAGTCATCATTTGAGCATAGTTCTCTTGGCTTTGATTGTGAGCATTTACAATCCGATTGTACTTTTCTTGGCTTTGATTGTGAGCATTTACAATCTGATTGTACTTCTCTTCGCGTTTGGACGAACATGAACCATTATCACAACTGGAAGAATTTATATCTCCAAAATGACGTCTTGTTTGTCTAAAAACTTTACTCGGGATAGCTCCTAACCCCAAGCACCTCACCCTTCCAGAATGCTCTTTTCCTAGCACCTTACCAACAACATCATTTGGTGAAACTTCAGACTCATCTGTGGCGCTTTGACTTACAACTAGCTCAATTTTTTCCTGAATATAAGATACACAAAATTCATTGTCATAACTTCAATTAGTAATTGACAACATAAGGATAATGTATATCCTTTAGTCACTTTGAAAAAAAAATATTGCAACTGATATTCTGTAATAGGACATTAGCAATCACTTTGAAAACAAATTTATTACACTGAGCATGAGGTTTCTTAATATAAACACAATGCAGTGATTACTCTGAACACATTAAACCCGGTATCCCCAATAAAGTAGGGACATTGAAAGAGTTTGATGTTGATTGATAGTTTTTACAGGTCTATCAAAACTATGGAGTGAAAGACAAGGAAAGGTACCAGAAGGAAAAGAAGGAGTATAAAGAAAGAATGCAGATCACATCCCCCTACTAAAGATGACTGGCAAAAGAAAAGGAGAAGGGAATATAATTCATCGTGCATGAGGAGAATTATTATTTAGAACATTTGAAGTTACGCAAGAAAATGCTCTTGGATTAGTAAGAACCACCCCAACAACAAAAAAAGGTCATGACCTCAATCGTTTTGCGTTATCTATGGTAAAAAAATAAATTAAGTTAAACTTGTCAATTGAGAAGAAAACAACTAATTAATCCAAAAAATCATAATAAGCTAAGAGTAATTAAGAGTACAAAGTACAAACTTCTTAGTTATATATAACAGAAGAGTAGTTACTAAAATTAAAATACAAAAATATAATAAACCAAACAATTTACTACTATCCATAGTACTAATATTGCTACTCCACTTGAAACAGTTGAACAATCAGTTGAAAGAATGAAAGGGTAATGTCAACTGATCAAGAAGTGCACTAATAGATGGCTAACATTTTATTAACTTGATGTTAGGATGAAGCTTTTAACAAGTAGAAACTTGCACATATTTCTCTTGCTGCTTCATTAACATATGACCCATCTTCCTTCTTATGAGTAGCAAGATAGAGTTGCGCTTGTCCAGGGTTTTGTCCAGATTCAGCCATCTATAAATGAAAAATCAAGTCAGAGTAACTTGACTAAATAGGAACAGTTTGCAAGTTTAACTAAAGTAAAACATATTAAATTAATATTTATCACCATTTCAGCTCTTCTTTTGGAGTTTGGTTTGGAACCACCAGTGTGTGCAACAGTTTGTTTCTTCCGAATTTTAGCATTTCTTTTGCTCATTTCCTTATAAAAATACATATAACTCAAATATACAAATAAAAAGTATATAATTACACATACTAATTAAAACATTCAAATAAATACCATTGTCTTTTCATTAAAACGGTAAGCAACATAAGAAGTCCATTGATCCCGTGGAATCTCTGATGGAACATTATCCATAATCTCTGCTTAGGTCTTAAGTGGGTTATTGAACTTATACCACAAACTTTGCCTTCCTGAACTCCACTTCTTTCCAATACAACTATAAACATATGCTCGTGCATTTAACTCAGTTGTCTTAAAATAGAATCGTGGCTACAGGAATAAAACTTCTGTTAACTAATTTATTACATGCAAATATACAATCTAACGATATAAAACAGAGTTACAACAATAAGAAAATAGAGCTTACACCTTTATAATTCGATCAAAGCAACAATTGAAGTATGACTTAGGTAAATCTGGCCATTTGTTGAAATGAATTGGAAATAAGGAGCAGTCGGTTGCTAAAATTCCACAAAAGCCTGCAAGAACACCTTGCCTTTCTCCAATTGGCTGATCCATATCATCAAATTCAACCACAATACATTTTTCGTCGGATAAATACATCACATCCTTAACCTTTACTTTGAGTTTCTTGGTAGCTCCTTGCGAATCTTTAAAAATAAACATCAATTTAAAAGATCGAACTAACTTTTGTAGAAACTGATAAAAAGCTAAAAAGTTGTCTTGTATTCAATACTGCATTCAACATCATTCTGGCAATTTGAATATTTCTTTCAGTTTCTGTTTTTGCGGATATATTTCTGTTTTTGCAGAACATATATGTTAGTCTGTTAGTGTAAATGCCCTTTTGGACTCTACTTCATTATGTTTTCAGTTATAGTACAAAGAAGGATCCTTACTGTCCTGTTTCCTCAAAGATTTCAGATCTCAATAATTACTAATTAATCCATATTCTTCATAACCCAAACTTCATTATCTGTTCAATTCTCAACTCCATAAATAATAATCAAGAAACAGAGACAGAGGCAATATTAAATAGTGACGCTTGAATAAATAAAGAAAAGAATTACCTATTGCATCAACTGTCCAATGTTGCGGACACTCACATCCAGGACACTTTTTGGATTGTGTCGGCTATGATACTGCCTGAACTGATGGGGCAGGTTGTGATATGGCCTGAACTGAATAAGCAGGCTGAGTTGCAGCTCGAACTGACGGGGCCGGATGTGATGTGGCTTGAACTGAATAAGCCGGTTGTGCTGCAACCCGAACTGATTGGGCCGACTGTGATGTGGCCTGAACCGAATAAGCCGGCTGTGCTGCAGCCTAAACTGACGGGGCCGGCTGTGATGTTGTCCTAACTGATGCATTCTGATGTGCTACGTCCTGGACTGAAGGTGTTGGTTGAAAAAAATGATACCAACTGCGGCGTATTATCAAGATGTGAAGGTGTTGATTCAGTTGTTGATAAAGGTTGTGATACACCTTGTAAAGTAGATGCTGGCTGAACTGACTTTTGCAAGTTCTGGTAACGTTTGGCCCTTGGCATATCTGGAATCAATAAAATTAATTGCATGAAACTATATACCATAATGGTGAAAGATTGAACAATCTTATTACAAAGTTTCCTGTACAAGAGTCATACAATCAACATGTTAGTTGCTCTACAGAAAGTAATGAGATTTGCAATTAAGCAATTTTGAAGTACCTAATTAACAGAATCATGTAGAATTAGTGCTACGACGAAACAATTAAATAATCTAATTACTTGCAATCTAGATCACACCTTGCAACTTCAATTCAAGAAATGTTTAGGAGAGTGAGTGAGCAGTTTACTACTATGTTTAGGAGAAAGGCTTTCTGTAGAGCAAGATGCAAGAGTTGAAGAAAATAGTGATTATGAAGATGAAGCTACAGAAGATCAAGAAACAGAGACAAAAGGCAATATTGAATAGTGACACTTGAATAAATCAAGATAAGAATTACCTATTGCATCAACTGTCCAATGTTGCGAACACTCACGTCTAGGACGCTTTTTGGATTGTGTCGGCCGTGATGCTGCCTGTACTGATAGATCCAATTGTGATGTGGCTTGAACTGAATAAGTCGGTTGTGCTGCAGCCCGAATTGACGGCTGTGATGTGGCATGAACCGAATGACTTGGCTGTGCTGCAGCCCGAACTGACGGGGCCGACTGTGATGTTGTCCTAACTGATGCAGTCTGATGTGCTGCGACCTGGACTGAAGGTGTCGGTTGAAAAAATGATACCAACTGCGGTGTATTATCAAGATGTGAAGGTGTTGATTCAGTTGTTGATAAAGGTTGTGCTACACCTTGTGAAGTAGATGCTGGTTGAACTGATTTTTGCAAGTTTTGGTAACGCTTGGCCCTTGGCATATCTGGAATCAATAAAATTAATTGCATGAAACTATATACCATAATGATGAAAGATTGAACAATCTAATTTACAATATTTCCTGTACAAGAGTCATACAATCAGTATGTTAGTTGCTCTACAGAGAGCAATGAGATTTGCAATTAAGCAATTTTGAAGTATTTAATTAACAAAATCATGTAGAATTAGTGCTACGACGAAACAATCAAATAATCTAATTACTTGCAATCTCGATCACACCTTGCAATAATTTCTATACTATAATGCTTTAAACTTGAAGAAACTATAATTCCTAGTCAGACATATGCTCCTCTACTACAACTTGGATATTCTCATAATTAACATCAAAAAATTGTTCCAATTCTTGTTGTTGGTATGACTCATTCTCGTAAATTTATTCTTCATCAACATTTCCCGTGTTAAATAAATCTCTTGGCTTTAGATGCACAACAACACTCCATTCTTTATCAGTTTCATCATCAACATAGTAGACCATATTTGCTTGAGACGCTTCAATATAAGGATCATGATCCTCGCGATCACCCATGTGAATCAATCTAGAAAAATTGACACAATTAAATTTCCAAACATCTATTTTGATCCCTCTATCCCGAGTAGTGTCAGCCCACTGGCATTTGAAGAGAACAACCATAAACCGTCCATAATAATTGAGCTCAATTATGTCTTCCAACTTCCCATAATATGGCAACTCTGCTTGTGTTGCATTTCTATCAGCATTAGATGCAATATAAGAGGTGTTAGAGGTAAGAAAAACTCCACTATTTTGAGTTTTCAATCCTTGTTCTCTAGATACAGTCCGAAACTTGAGTTTTAATGTTATATGTAGTAAACCTTCTTGCGTCTGGCATTGGACCTCGTGCTAAGAACTCCAAATTAGTAGATATTGTGTTTGCTATATCTGGATTCATGATCTGAACAAACAAAATTATTTCTATTAGACAATCTAAATTAATACAACTTATGCATAAACAAATATTAGCTATATTATTTACTCACTCATTTTGAAAACCAATCAGGAAACTCTTTACTAACTCTTCTCTCTACCTCTGTTGCAAAAGGTCTTCGACCCCTTAAATTTCTTTTAATGTGGTTCCTAAATTCACTACAGAGGAATCACCTATATTAATTTAATCATTTCACTTTAAAAAATTTGCTAAAAAATAAATTACAATAAACTTTCTTACTCAATAAATGGTTTCACTGCTTCGTAATTAAGTAACACGTATCGATGAGCTTGAGTCTTCTCCAAAGGAGATAAGGGAAATATTGTGGAGCCTCCAATAGGTTTACCTTGCTGAGGGACCAAAGATGATATTTCAGAAGTCTTATTATGATTTAGCTCATCGTTTACATGTTTAGGACTATTTATCCTTGACTCGATACCCTCCAAATAACGAAAACAGAGAGTCAGAGCTTCTTCAACAATATAACCTTCAGCAATGGAACCTTCTGGTTGTGCTTTGTTCCCTACAAGAGACTTGAAATGACTTAACAATCTATAACGAAAATGAAATATTATTAAAACAAGTATTCAGTTTGAATTAATATTAAAAGTTTGATCTAAAGAATGTTATGAAATAATAAATTTTTACCTTTCAACAAAATACATCCATCGATAATGTACTGGACCACCTTGTATCACTTCATCTACTAGATGGATAGTTAAATAAACCATGACAGTGAAGAAAGATGGAGGGAACAAAATCTCTAAGTAACAAAGTGTGAGTACAATCTGATCTTGTAGCTTCTCTAGGTCAGATAGGCTCAAACTTTTCAAACAAAGATTTCTAAAAAAGGAAGAAAGCTCTACCAAGACTCCGACAACCTCATTGGGAAGCACATTTTGAATTGCAACAGGCAACAATTGTTCCATGATGATGTGACAATCATGACTTTTTAATCCGAAGATCCTCTTCTGATCCAGATCAATACAATCAGAGATATTATTTGAGTAACCATCCGGCACCGAAATATTCTTTAATGTTTTAAGGAAGGTGACTCTCTTCTCTTTTGGAATTGCAAATGCAGCAAGGCGACAATTTTCCTTCTCATCTGGCCAAAGATCACGTCTTATGCCCATATCTTGTAGATCTTTTTGAGCCTTAACATGATCCTTTGATTTGTCTTTATCCATTAGCAAAGTGTATATAATATTGTCAAACACATTCTTCTCGATGTGCATGACGTCCAAATTATGGCACAACGAGTTGAATTCCCAATATGGAAGATTGAAGAATATGCTTTTTTTTTCTCCACTGCCGGGTTGCACCTTCCCCATCTTTTCTTTGTCTATTTCTTTTCTTTCTAGCATTCAACTCTACTGGCCTTCCAAATGTAACATCGATTTCTTTCACTTGTTGCAAAATGTCTGACCCCGATAACTTCCTCAGCGGATTCCTCTCCTCCACATCTCCAAAAAAACGATGCCTCATCAATCTAAATTTGTGATTTCTTGCCAAAAATCGACAATGACCAATAAAGCACCATTTTTCTACTGTGAGTAAGTCGACAAGGTTCTGCGTCAAAATTACAAGAGGGGCATGCCAAACCAGTATGTGTGTTCCAACCAGATAAGATATCAAGTCCAGAAAAATCACTGACTGTCCATATAAGAGCTGCTCGCATATTGAACATTTCATTCTTCGATGAATCACAAGTTTCCACACCCTTATACCACAACATATTCAACTCCTTAATAAGGGTTTGTAAGTATACATCTATATTATTATCCGCCGTACGTGGACCTAGAATGATCATTGAGAGGATGAAATTTGGTTGCTTCATGCACAACCAAGGTGGAAGATTGTATGGAACCAAAACCACAGGCCAAATACTATAATTAGTACTCATCGTTCCAAAAGGATTGAAACCATCACTAGCTAGGCCTAATCGAACATTTCGGGGATCAGAAGCAAATTCAGGAAAGATTGTATCAGACCTCTTCCATGCCTCACCATCTCTAGGATGCCTCATTATTCCATCTTTGTTACTATCCTCTACATGCCATCTCATATGCTCTGCAGTCTTAAAACACATGAATAATCTCTGCAACCTTGGTTTTAGTGGAAAGTAACGCAAAATTTTTGCAGGCTTTTTTTTCTTCTTCTTACTTGTAGTAGGCACGCGATGATTGTTGTCCCTCTCATTAGGCTTCCATCTAGATATGTGACAATACTTGCATGTTTCTTCATTAGCATCATCTCCCCAGTACAACATGCAGTCATTTGGACAAGCATCTATCTTTATATAATCAAGACAATGTTTTTTAATGGTTTTCTTGGCATCATAAAAAGAATCAGAGATACTTGCAAAGTTAAATGCATCTCCCAATAGATCTAGTATCATAGTCATTCCCTTGTCACTTAGCTCAGACAAACTCTTTATATGATACAACTTTAACAAAAACTCTAGCTTTGAGTACTTGGAATCTTCATACAATTCTTGACTTCCATCTCTAAGCAACTCAAAAAAGTTTTTACTATTTGAAGCAGGCATATCATTTAACATTTCTTCTTCTCTCCCTGCTTATGATGAACCTACATCAATATCCTCATGTCTTAAGCCCTGAAATGCTTCATTAATCAATAAGTCCACTGGATTTTCGGCAAGTAGTGTATCTTGAGTGACCTCTATGTTATTAAAGTTCTACAACACATTTATTTCGCCATGAAAAACCCAAGTGACATAATCTTAAAGGAATGGCTTGCAGATTAAATGATCGAACACTATCGCTCTAGTCAACCACTTCACAAAACCACATTTAGGGCATGGACATTTTATTCTATCTTCTATAGCTCCATTTTAAAATGCAAAATCTAAAAATTAATTCAAACCAAACAAATATTCATTTATGTTCCTTGGCAATCGAATTCAAGATTTATCCATTGAAAAAGTATTTGAAAAGATCTGAAACCTTTGAGAAGTGCAGCTAATGACCCAAAATCAGGTCAGTATGCCACCAGTAAGGACGCTTCTAATCAGCAGAGTTTGATATAATCTGCAAGATTTTCACGAGGAAAAATAATTTAGTAACTAGTCAATTTTACAAGATCAGAGACATACTTTACAATTTTATAAGCTAAATAAAAGGGAATGTAAAGTTAGCTAGTTATCTAGCATGAAAAACAATGAGAACATATTCAGATGAATGTATACTACTAAACTAAGAGTACTATAGGAAATATCAATGTGTTTCTTGGCTTTCTCCATTATTATCATTCAACAGATGGACCAATGCTAAGGGACTTTATAGAGAGGGGATGCAATGGTCTGAATGAGTTAATAACTAAATTCATTTCCATATAAAATACGTTTCGTCACAATCTAAATTCAGATTTTTTCAGGAAAAGATTATATGCCACAAATTGACCATTAACTTTATGGTCTGAATGAGTTTATAACTAAAGCAGTAATAAGCTACTGCACTGATAATACATCTTTTTTAGATACAGAAATAGTGCTTGAACACCATAGGATTTACCTTGTAACTTCTTCACCATTCTAATTTGTCTTCGAACACCCTTTCTTGAAGAAATTTTAACACAACCGATGTGTGATAGGTATAAACCTACAGGATTAGGTAATCCTGTTTTACAGATCTCAAACTACTTCATTTGCTAAACATATGTATCAGAAAAGTTCATGATTCAGACTTATTGTACCATCATTAAGCTAACAGAATGACAGGTAAAGTAAAATGTTATATAGATCCAATAGTGCTCTTTGTGTTTAAGCAGAGTATCATATTTATCAACTTTAGATATTATCAGATATCCAAAACAGATAGTAAATTGAAGCTATTATAGATTGTACCACAGCCTAAACAAGAAAACATGAAATAAACGAAAATCGTAGTATGCATGATTGCTGAAATCATTAGAGAGCCGCAATCAAAAGAGTGAAGTACATAATTTCAAGCTAAACCAAGGGGATTTGTGCTCAAATAAAATGTTAATATGTAAGTAAATAACTTGTTCATTCAAAGATTACTAGGTAGTAAAATTGGTTAGCGACTATAAGCCTGTTGCTCAAGAAAATTACCAAGGAAAGAACTACCTAAAAAAATAAGGACTTAACTGAAACGTCACTTCTTCCAATTGATGCACCCCCTTAACTTTACAAAATTCATGTCTTGTTTACCCCAAACAAGGCCACCAAAGTATTCCTAGAGCCCAACCAGAGATATGAGAACATTTCATGAAGTGATTCTTCATACTTATCAGTTATTTTTAGTTGCATAAGATGTTCAAATATGTTCATATAAAGCTAATGGTCGCACACAACCATAAAATGAGCTTGACAACCTCAAAGTATATGTTACAACCATTTTGTCCACACTTCACAGAAGCCAAATATTTTGTTAAATTCTTCTATCACATTTTTCTCGATATATACCTATGAAAAACCTCATTTTCGAAACAGTTTAATCAGTTGATCTAAGCCTTAACCTTTTCAGTCTCAAGCCCAAGAAAAGAAAAAAACATGTCTTTTCTTAAAAGAGAAAAATTGACAAGACCAACAAGGTGGAGTCCAACCCCAGAACAACTTATGTTCTTAGAAGAAATGTACAGGAAAGGTTTACGAATTCCAAATGCTACTAAAAATCAAATATTCCTATTAGTCCAACTCTCATAATTCTTCATCTATTGTGAACCAAATATGCCTATTAGCTCTACTGGACTTTTTCAAGAGGTATAGATGTACACAAATTCAGCTCAAAACCTCACTAACTAATTCAGAGGCGGCCTCGTCGAACAGTTCAACGAACTGAGTTTCGAATACCGATATTCTTTGCATTTAAATGAAATATATAACAACTTAAATCATAAATAAACATCAATTAGCCAGTTACTACTAAAACACAACAATAACAATATGAGAACAACAATTCAATCTTTATATTTTCTTTTCCAATCATAGAATGAGTTTAGAAGATAAAACCCTCTAATTCTTTCAACAACTTCATACAAACAGAGGAAAAATTATAAAAGCTGAATATTGTCTACTTCTTCTCGGTAGCTTACTTCTTCTTAGTTCATTCTATCAGAAATAATAAGATGACTGCCTAATACTATTATAATTACTGGAGTTTTGAAGTTGAGAAAAAAACCTTCTTCTTCTTCTATAACAAAAAAGGAGCAGAGAGAACCTAAATCAAATCACATGCAAAAATTATTGAAATTGGAGCAGAGAAACCTAAATCAAATCACATGCAGAAACTATTGAAATTCAGATATTAAGAAAACATACTCAAAACCCTAGAGGATTTAAAATCAGATATAAACAGATTAGGAAGGAGAGGGCAGAGAGCTGCAATTCGAGTTGTACCTTTTGTCAGGAGATTCAGCGGCAAACACGCTTCAATTCGAGTTGTAATTGCTGAAATTCACATTAAAATCGCACAAATATCAAACTTAGAGGAATTAAAATCGGATATCAACTATTTTCGCAATGCAGAGACTAATTTCACACAACTATTTTTGCAATGCACAAATATTTCGCACAAATATTTTCGCAATTGGATATCACATTAAATCGCAACTTAGAGTGAACCCTAAATCGTTAGAGTGAAAGACAATGAGAGATTAAAGAGAGAAAGAGAACTTTCCATTTCAGGAGGAGAAAGCGAACCCTAAATCGTTAGAGTGAAGAGCGGATATTTCTAAAGTTATTTCTGGAAAAAAGAGAGAAAAATAAAAATAAGAGGGATACAATCGTTGGGGGAAATTTCTGGAAAAAAGAGGGAAAGATAAAAATAAAGGAGCGCCTNCCCTAATTAGATACAATTTGGGGAGGTTAATAATAACCCCGCAATAAAACCGCCGCAAGTAAACTGCTTTTTTTGTAGTGTCTTCTGCTTCATAATTTTGGCCACCTCATTTTCAAACATCTCACTAGAGGGGTAATGTGATTTTGAGTGTAACCTCTACCAACACCCTAGCATACGTTAGTCTTTCTTTCTCTGTCGGCTTTATCTGCTTTTAGAGGAGTCCCTACCATTCCTGATTTTTTGTTAGAGCAGACTTGCCCCAATTCTTGAAGTCTAGACCCATCAACCTAATCTACACAAGTATTCTTTCCACTATCTCCTCTTTTATCTCCATATCTGGTTTCCAAGGCTTCACTAATACCGAATTCCTATCAAATATTTATATACCATCTTTTATAACTTTGATTCTTCTTTCAGCACTATGTAACCTGACTAGCTAGAAATACACCCCTTACAAATATCTAAACATCCCCATATTTTTTTGAAATAGCCCTCCATCACTATTGGGGGAGGGTTTTAGCCTTGTACATAGCATATTACAGCAGTCCGCCAGAACTCAATTTTCTCTTTGACATCATCCATGGTGATTTTCATATTGTTCCTGATTGACTCTTGTGGCTTCAAATCAAAGACCTCAATTGTCGAAACTACATCTACTATATTGCTCCATGTTTTGAATTTGGGATCTAGGGCTTTACTATTACCTGTATTATTAATTTTCCCAAACTCTCTTTCTACCTTGTCTGCCCATGATACTCTTCCAGTTGTGTTACAATCAGGAGTCTTTGTACTGCTCTTCAATTGAGTCATTGTAGGTGTTACTAGGGGTGTTTGTCGGTCTGTACAGTATGGTATTTAGACATTTCGGTTCGGTATTTTTGGTATTCGGTTTCTTAAAATGCAATACCAACACCGTACCTAATTAAATTCGGTATGGTTCGATTTTTCTCCTTTCAGTTTCGCTTTATTCGGTTTGGTAACTTCGCTTTATTCGGTTTGAATACTAACTAGTTCATAGAGTCATCGACTGTAATACTCTAAATTAAAGTATTCAAAAGTATAAAATTAAAAACATTTGTTGACAAAAATTGTCCAAAACTAGCAAATATCAACATAGAGAAAGAAAATTGTTCATAAAAGAATAAATTTGATCATTAGAAATGTCTTTTTACTTTATTAGAGTTAATTAATGAACTTAGAGAATAAAAAAAAAGTAAAATTTTAGATTTTTATGTTTGTGCTATAATTAATAATATGTGTATTGTGTAATATAATATATATATATTTCGGTACGATGTCGATTTTTCGGTATTTTATTTTAAAATACCAAATACCATACCTAATATCAATATTTTTTAAAATTTAAACCAAATACCATACGAATACCAAAAGTTTCGATTTCGATACGGTAATTCGGTACTTACCAAAATGTTACCGACGTTGATCCCTGAGTCAAATCTAGCTATAACTCCTTGTATTACGTTTATATTTCACATTTTCTTTGAATCCCCTGACTGCAGAACGGTTTTCTTCACCTTATTGAAGCTTTGGTTAACCTTTTGCCCTTGATCCTCTCCCCCTCTAGTCTTATACTTCCTCGTCATTTTCAGCAATCGCTAAGAGGATAACCCATCCTAGAGATAGAAAGTTTTTTATGTTTATTCCTAGAGATAGAAAGCTTTTTATGTTTATACTCTATGAATGAAAAACTTTCTAGTAGGAAGTTTTTCCCCTTATATGGGTCTTACGTAGAGGCAGATCCAAAATATAAGCTCTATGATTTTAACCTTTAAGATCCTTAATATTAAACTCATTATATTTTTAAAACTTGAGTTCATAAACTTCAAAAATAGCTACTATTTATTATAATTTTAGTGAATTTTTACATAAAAATTTATGCTCTGCATCGAATATTTTGGATTCAGATGAACCGATACTCCATCAGCCCATGGCCCTACGCGATGAAAATCGGGATTGGTTAAGCTACTGGGCTTCGGATACAAGATGGCTAAATAAAAAAAGGAGTTAATTTCTTAGATGATCATCCAAGTACTGGAAATTACTCAAGAGAATCAATTTTGCTTATATTAGGATAAAAAAGTTATTAATCTATGTCTTTATCACTCAGAAAATCAAAA